TTCTTAATATACCAAATGATAATTTATATAATAAAAAATAATCTTTATTTTCTCAAACCTCACTTATTTTATAATTCAAATTTAAAATTTTCAATATAAAAACTCAAGACCACTTAAAGCTTTTCTAAGTAACAATCATTATTATACTTTTGATTGCAATATATATAGTTTTTAGTATTACACTCATAACTAATTTGATATTAATTAGATGGTATACATCTTGGATTCATAAGATAAAAGCAATGAGAGCATGTAGAATATACCAAGCTCACCATTAAGATTTGATTAAAAGCAATATGCACCAATGTGAACGGGTTAATTCACTTTATTAATTAAGGTTTAATTTATTAAAAAAGTCCAAAATAAAGTAATTCTTTATCAATGTTATAATCTTATCATAAATGACCTGTTCGTAAACATTGAAATTAATAAGTGGTACAATTAATCCACCCTAAATAAGGTGCTTAATACTGTTGGACAATGTCTAAAATGAAGTTGACTATTTTAATTTTTACTTTTTGGTAGAGGTGGAGCACAACACGTGTTGTGCAATGATTTTAATTTGCATGAAGGGTTCTTCCTTATGGGTACATTTGAAAGAGAACAGTTGCTATTGGCCTGAACCAATGAAAGCAGATAAAAAGTGGACCAAATTCCCATCTGTCTGCAAATAATTGCTACTAATATTTTTACACACAAAATAATAATAATAATGGAGGATTTTTCCAGCATGCATAAAAGGTAAAAGTGCAATAAATATAGGGTTTGTGTAATTTGTATCTTTTTTAAGGTATAAGTTAAAATTTATTAATTATAGTATTTTTAATTAATTTTATATAAATTTTTATATCAAATTTATAACTTTTTTTTAACAGATTTTAAGTATAGGTATTATATTTTATTTTTATTTTAAAATTTATATTTTATTTTAATTGAATTTTATATGAAAAATTATACAAAACTAATTACAAATATTACAATTAATGACGCATCAGACCCGTTCGGCTACCTTGAAGTGCATCCCCCTCGCTTTTTTACGGGCTTAAGCTCACCTTCAAAAAAAAAAAAAAAAAAAACTACAATTAATGACATTTAACTTATTTCCTAAA